CCAGTTCCCTAGTTATCCAAGTCCTGAAGTAGAATGAGGGCGGAAGTTGGGGTAGAACCCCACCTACTGGTGTCCTTCCTGGTCCCCCCCAACCTAACCTGCAAAGTCTGATCCATGCACGCAGAGTGTGCTCACTCCCTGCATCCCCATTCTGAGGGCTAACTCTGGGCTCAAGCCACTTGGTTAAGGGATGCTAAGGATAGAAAGAGACAAGGGGAAGTCCATAAGTCCATCACCCATTCTGAAACTCCACATACACACCAAACCACACAGACCAGAGTGTGTTTTTCCTCTGTACCCTTCATCTTCTTCCAGCATACTCTTCTTCAGAATTCCTCCACAACTGTTTCATAGAATCTCCACCCCCACCCCCCGCACTCAGTCAATCTTAGACTGACCCTAGCTTCTATAAAGCAGAAACCTTAAGAACACAAGGGAGGGGCGCCTGGGTGGCTCAGTGGGTTAAAGCCTCTGCCTTCGGCTCAGGTCATGATCCCAGACCCTGGGATAGAGCCGCGCATCAGGCTCTCTGCTCAGTGGGGAGCCTGCTTCCTCTTCTCTCTATGTCTGCCTCTCTGCCTACTTGGGATCTCTGTCTGTCAAATAAATAAAATCTTAAAAAAAAAAAAGAACACAAGGGAGACTGAGGAACCTAGACAGATCCCAGGCTTTCACCACCACCACAACCCTCAGCAAGTTTTCTAGTCCTTGGGGTTTTCTTTTCTTTATCAGCCTAGCCAAGTATTGTGGAGTTAGGGTCTGCAGAGAAACTGGTTGGCAGTATGAGGCACTCAGCTTCACAGATGCACACCTGGGTTCCTGTGCCTCTCCCATGGGAGTGGGCCACTAGGAGTCCACCTCAGCCCCCAGCTTTTTATGACCCATGTGCCAATAAACCAGTCCCCCCCTCTTCTGTTCAGAGCCATAAAACTGAACTATGGAGTGGGGGAGCGACTTTGCCAAACCACTAGGGAGTAAGAGAGGGCCTGGTTCCCTGGAGTTGGAGCAGGGAAGGGGTGAAGGGACCTCAGTGGGGGAGGGGAAAGGGAGTCATCTGACCCTAGGGAGAGCTGGGGGTGGGGTGGGGGGGTGTTGGCCTGGATTTTCCAGGCCATAAAATTTCAAAGCAGCTCAAGTCTATTAACATGTTCATCTTCCGTTTGGCCAGGAGCTTGAATGCCTGGGTTCCCCCTCCCTCCTTATCGATTTCTTTTTCTCCCTAGGTCTCCCTCTCTCTCCTCAAGTCCAGTTTTGAGTAGGGGCAGGCGAATAGGGAAAGGAATGATAAGCTTAGTGTAGCCGAACGGGTGCCCTCAACCCCAGTGCAATGGAGTTGAGTTCTCTGAGCCCGGTCAGTACCAAGAAAGTACAGCTTTCCCAGCCCTGGGAGACCGGGTGTCAGAAGGGCTCTGGTGAAATGGGTGCCAGCTGGGCTGCGAGGAGAGACACTGGGCTCTGGGAGGGACCTCGTTCCTGCTAGAGGGAGAAGAGCACTCAGTTCTAGGCAGCCCGGTGGGCGCGTTGCGGAGCCAGAGGTGGAAGGGGCGGAGAGTTGATGCCAAGGGCACCGGTAGCAGACAGCTCTGCAGCCCGCCTGGGACCGTGGGGGTCCCGAAGCGTCCCGATTCTGTGCTCCAGCCTCTCCTCCATGGCCCTTCAGGACTGAGTTGCTGCCCCTTCCACTCCGCTGCGACTGGGCTCTAGCCTCCCCAGACTCCCCGCAACACGGGTCTTTTTTGAACACCCGGGTGGGAGGCGGTATCTCGGAACCCTCTCACTGTTTGCTGTCCCACCTCGGGGAACGGAGGGTGCACACAACTCCGCGGCCATCTCCAAGCTCGAAAAACTTCTATGGAGCAGCCCCCGCTCCCCAATCCGTCAAGTTTTCGCAGAAAAAGATTCTGGGCCGGAGCAGCCGGGAGCGCCCCGCTTCGGAGCGGGAGGCGCTCACTTTCCCCGAGCCAGCACCCCACTACTCGCGCCCCGCCGCCCACTTACTCTCCTGGGCCATGCTAATGACAGTCTCGGTGGTGGCGTGGTACTCGTCCTCCTCCAGGAAGTCTTCGGGCTGCAGCGCGTCTCCCTGGAAGTCGTGTAGGTCCAGGATTTGCTGCAGCGGCGGCGCCTTGGGCAGCAGCTGCTTCACCACCTCGCGGCTGATGTTGGGAGCCTCCTTGAGCCGCAGTTTGCTCAGGATCTGCGACTTGATGCTCTCCAGGCGCAGCTCGCGGCTGTGCTGCCGCCACACGCATACGGGGCAACCGTCGGGCTCGGGCGCCACGGACGGGGCCGGCCGGCTAGAGCGCTCCCCCCCGGCCCCCGCCGCCGCCGCCGCCGCCGCCGCCGCCGCGGGGCCCTCGGCCGCCTCCCCCCGGGGCCGCAGCTCCAGGGCGAGGAGCAGGAAGCCCAGCAGCAGCGGGGCCGCGAGCACCATGCTGGAGGGGAGGGGAGGGAGGACTGGGGGGCGGGGACGCCGGAGTCCCGCAGGGAGGGGGCGGAGGGAGAAGGGAGGGAGGAGGAGGGGGTCCGGGCGGCGCGGGATTGGGGGCTGCCCGGCCGAGGGGGGGCCGGGGGGGCCGGGGGCGGCGGGCGCGCGGGCGGGGCGGGCGGGCGGCCGGGGCGGGCGGCTGGGGGGGCCCGAGCCCGGGCCAGGCCCTTTATAGCCCCGGCCCCCGTGTCGTCAGCGGCCGCGATTGGCTGCGGAGCCAACAAAAGAGGCAGCGCTGTCATCCGAGGCGAGAGAGGGAGCCGGAGAGAGCCGAGGAAAAGAGAGAGAGAGAGAGGGAGAGAGAGAGGGAGCGAGGGCCCAGAGAGAGATGAAGAGGGAGATACCGGGGTGAGGGAGAGGAAAGGAGAGATAGAGAGAGAAAGTAAGAGTCAGAGAGCCCAAGGAGAGACAGAGAGATAAAGGGGCAAGAGACAGATGAGACACAGAGATAGGTAAAGCAGGAGGAAGAGGAGAGAGAGAGAGACAAAGGGGGGATAAGAGAGAGTCAGATGAGAGAAGACAGAGGAGAGACTTAGCTGGAGAGAGACAGAGACAGAGAAGGAAAAAGACTGGTATAAACTAGTGGGAGAGTTACAGGGAGAGAATCGGGGACAAAGACAGGGGAGAGAGACCAGAGGGAGAAGAGAGGTATGGCTAGACAGGAGAAGGGATGGAGGTCCACAGAGCCTGATCACAAGAGGTCAGGAGTGCAGAGATATGGGAACAGGGACAGAGAAACTGATGGGACAAAGACCAGAGTCCTGGGAAAGAGAGGGAGAGAAATCAAGAAGAGAAGGCTTGGGAGATGCCAAGGGAGCCCCTGAGGAGGCAGACACAGAAGATCAGGGGAAGGCAGAGATGAAAAGACAGACTTTTGAGGAGAGGAGAGACAGCACAGTGACAGGGTCACTTGGTGGGAGTATGGAGAGCCTGAGGGGGAGAAAGTGGGGAATTTGAGCCCAGAGGAGCCCCAGCTACTGGAGGTAGCCCAAAGAAAATGTTTAAAGAAGCCCTGGAGGGCAGCATCAGGCTGGGCTCATTGGGAGCTCAGAACAGATGGAAGGATGGGACATGGGGGTTAGCAAGGAATACAAGGAGAGAAGGAGGCCAGAGATAATCGGAGCATGTGGGGAAGTGGTGGGAAGCCCTGAGACAAGAGCAAGTCTTAGAGCTGGGAAGAGCGTGATCTGAAATTGAGGGATAAGGGAGCCAGTAGGCTGGAAAAGGAGAAAAAGCAGGAACAAGGGACCACTGGGGGCCACTGAGGGGGGTGGTGGGAGGAGGAAGCAGGCTGGAGACCACTATGCTTGCGGACCTCTGAATTCCTAGTTATACTTTTGCATCTGGAGGGTCTTAGAAGTCTGAGAAGGCTCTTGTAATTGTAGGGGTGAAAATGAGAGAGAGGTCTTCCCTCAGATGCCTGAGTTGCAGACAGCAAGTTACAAAGGGAGAAACCTATTTGTGGGACCAGCTCTAGTTTCCAGGTGTGACCCTGGGTACAGCCAAAGGGCAGAGTGGAAGAGTGTTAAAATGCTCCCGAGGTACTTGACTTCTGGTTCTGGAGTCCTCTTCCCAGTCCTCAGTTTCTCTAGGCTGATTTCTGGAGTCCAAAGCCTTGGAGATCAATAGACAACCAATAGATTGAACATGTTTGGGGGTGTGTGCCTGGGTGGCTCAGTCGATTGGGTGTCTGCCTTTGGCTTGGGTCCTGGGATCCTGGGATTGGGGGGAGGGCATGGTTCTCTGCTCAGCAGGGAGCCTGATTCTCCCTCTGCTGGCTGCTCCCCCTGCTTGTGCTGCTTCTCTCTCTTTCTGTCAAATAAATAAATAAAATCTTAAAAAAAAAAAAAGGACAAAGTTGGGTTGGGGAGCTGGAGTGAAATGAGGAAAGAAACTGGAGGTTCGGGTATGAGAAAGGAAGGTTGGGTAGGGATCAGGAAGACCAAGCTGGGGAGCTTTGAAGAGATGAACATCTCTGTGGAGTACAGGAACTAAGACCACAGCACAATGCAATAAATTTAGACAGCGGGTTCTCTCCCTTGCTTTGGACCAAGACATGGGTCTTTCAACATTTCATCACCTTTCTTCGTCTATAAAATGAGCATCACATTGTCCCCCTCAACTAATTGTGAGGATTACATAATAATCAATCAATAGTGGCCTTCATGGGATCTTTCTTTCTTTTTTTTTTTTTTAAGATTTTTATTTATTTATTTGACAGAGATCACAAGTAGGCAGAGAGGCAGATGGGAGGCTGCTGGGGGAGGCAGGCTCCCCACTGAGCAGAGAGCCTGATGCGGGGCTCCATCCCAGAACCCCAGGATCCTGACCTGAGCCGAAAGCAGAGGCTTTAACTCACTGAGCCACCCAGGCGCCCCCGTGGGCTCTTTCTTATGATTCTTTTCTTTCCTTTCTGATTTCTTAGAGTAACAACTGCCTTTACCACATATTCTGGCATAGCCTGTTCTCCAAAACATTTCTCTGATGTCATTTCCTCAGCAAAATTGCAAACTCCTTGAGAGCAGAGGTGGTGTCACCTCCTTCTCCTTCCATGGAGTCAGTGGCTCAGCCTTCACTTCCTCACCAAGTGTGTGTCTAATGGTAGGTGATATGATAGATGCAAAGACAAATTTTCTCAGGAAACATTTAGACTGGACAGAACACTAGATAAACAGTGTACAAGCCAAAACTCCAAGCCAGGGGCTCCTGGGTGGTTCAGTTGTTAAGTGTCCACCTTAGGCTTTGGTTATGAACCCAGGGTCCTGGGATTGAGCCCTGAATGGGGCTCTCTGCTCAGCAGGAAGCCTGCTTCTCCCTCTCCCGCTCCTGCTTGTGTTCCCTTGCTGTGTCTGTCAACTAAATAAATAAAATCTTAAAAAACAAAACAAAACAAAACAAACAAACAAAGCAAACAAACTCCATGCCAGATAGATGCCTCTTTGATATCCATCTGGATGTCCCAAGGCACCTCAAACATCATGGATTAAATATGATAATCCGAGAACTCCTTCTCTCCCCCGAAAATGTGCCCCATCTTGCTGAGGCACATTTTCATTTTACTGAATGACAATCATCCAGACCAGAAACCTAGAGGTAGACTTCATCTTCTTTCTCTTGATCATCTCTGAATCTTCGCATAAGTTTTCTCTTCCTAGAACAACACCCCTTCCTACCTCCATTGCCCCCATTCCCCAGTATCTTGGCCAAATTTGTTCTTTCTTCAGGTCTCAGTATAGACGAGATTTTGGACATGTGTCTTCCAGGAATCCGTTGCTAACTCCCAAGCCCGGAGTAGATCTTCTTCCTAGCTACATCTGTACCATTCTGTGTGGTATGGAAGTTACTCTAGCTTCCAAACCAGAACAAGGCTGTCTGGGTTCAAGGTCCAGCCCTCCCACATTTCTGGCAGTGCGAACTTGGCTCTGTATGCCTTGAAGGGGATAACAATATAGTACCTAGTACCTTTTTCATAAGGTTATGAGGATTAACTGCCCGATATGCAATTCCTTTTTTTCCTGACATGCAACCCTAAATGAGTTAGTCATTACTATTACCCCAGCTTATCACCCTTACACTGTGAGTGGGACCCGAGAGAGCAGGAAATTTTTCCACCAAAGTGTTCCTTAGCTCCTTTGAATGAAGAATGAATGAATCCTGTTAACTGGATCTGGTGAGAGCTGGGTTGGGGAGAGAAAACTGGGTATTTATGGTCATGAAGAGTTATGGGTGTCTGCCAAATGCCAGAGAGCAAGAGTCAGGAACAACTTGTGAGACAGAGGATTTCCACCTCCCCGCTTCGTCCGCACTAGTTCCAGGACTGGACTTAATCCATTGAGTGGGCAAGACTGCCATCTGGTGGTAGAATCCGGAATTTTAGCTTCTTGGAGGTGGGACTAAAACTGGTTTTGCATACTTCTTTAGATTTCTACTCCAAGAAGTTCTATATCAAAATGCATTAAGCCTTGCTCCTCTCTCCATCCCCTCCTACATCTTGCTTCTTTCCTTAATTCCCTCAGGTTTGGTTACTGTTGGGTTTCCCTGAGTTGCTGGAACTAATCCCTGGGAGGTCTCTTTCGGGAGCTTCGGACTTCCAGCTGCCCTAGACCCAGTTCCCAAGGGGGTGCCCTGCAGGCTTCATAGAAAGGAGCTGGGAGAGATCTGGACCTTTAGATCTTTTCTCATCCCAATACAAGCTAACTGGGGTTTAGGGCCCCGCCCACTGTGCTGGTCTCCCGGGCAACTGTCTTCCACCGGGGTGCCCCCCCCCCGGCGTTACCCAGGCAACCTTCAAGGCCCGCCTCCTTCAAGGTCCTGACTGGTTCATAGCAAATGTGGGTCTGGACCTAAGAGAAGGCGTTAGGGTTGGAAGACCTCGAGTCGCCAGGAGAGAAGCAGGAGGTGTCCCAGGGAGAGGGAATGAGGTTTCAGGAGCTACTGGAAGGAAGAGAGGCTTGTGTAGCCTCGGGTAAAGGGTCAGTTCCATCCTCAGGCAGAGGAACTATAGGTCTTGGGAACTGGTCGTCAGGGTTCAAGGCCAGAGACACCTGGGCTGCTCTCAGAGCAGCAGACCCCAGAACTGGGGAATCTCAGTACGGAGGAGGGGCTCCTGTTACCATGCATCCCCACCCCGCAGACCACCCCGCACACCCAAACTGCACTGTCCAGAACTGGGCCAGTGGGCTGCAACTTGGTATCCCTAATGGCATCTTTTCTCTTTTTCCTCCTGAAGTCCCTATTTCTAGGATCAGTGGCTCATTCCCTGGCACTGCAGGTCTTCCCAAGGAGGGGAGGGCCTGGGGTCATTGAGAAGCTGCTGAGGGGTTTCCCTACCAGGCTTGCTTCACCCTTCCTCTGCCCTCCCAGCCTGAGCCTTTGGGAATGTGGTATGGAGAGGCTATTCTGGGCTAAGGCTGGAATGTTAGTGGAATGGACCCCTCCCAGGTCTCTGCCCACAAATCCTGAAGCCCCCAGAGAGGACCTCACTGTGTAATTACCGTCCTCTTGCACACCACGCTGGAAATCCTATAATTATCCTGCTGGATTTCCTAGCAGGCCTGGTAAACTCCTTAACCCCCAGGCTCTCGAAGAGGGGTTGCAGGTCAGACAGAGGGCGTCAAGGAGCTTGTATCTGGGGGGTAGGTGGTGGAGGTGGAGTACAACTGGGGGAACTCAGAATCATTTGGGGTCACACCTTCCTTTGCCCTGGGCCTTCCGGAAGACTGCCCTGCCTGCCGCCCTCAGCTTCCCTTATCCTCTTAGGGCAGGCCCAGCCCTTGAACTCCACAGGTGTACCTTGTTTCCCACCTTCACTCAGTCTCCCCAGGCCTCTCCCCTCTTTCTTTCTTACCAATTGCTCCCTCTCCAGGCCCAGGCCCAACATGGGGTCCTGCTGGGGGTGGTCGTCAAGGCTGTCCCCATGCCCAGTTTGGCCAGGAGGAGGCACCTACTGGTCAAGGGAAAGGACAGGTCTGAGCCCAAAGCCTGCTTCTCATTCTCCAGGGACTTCAAAACGCTGGGAGGCCTCTGCACCACAGAGGTGACAAAGTCTGATGTGGGCTGCCAGGGGAAGGGAGCTGGAGTCAGGAATGCCTAGAGGGAAGCTAATGTCCAGGAGAGAGTGCAGGGCAGTGAAAATCAAGGTTGTTGCCAAGTGAGGGGTGTGTGTGTGTGTGTGTGTGTGTATTTGTGTAGCAATGGTGAGGGTGTGTGGGTGGCCAGAAGATTTGGCTGAGGTCTGGGAATGGGAACCAGAAATTAGTAATGTGAGAGCAGAAAAGACTTCTCTGGACTCTGACTGGCAGTGCCAAGGACCTCACCCCCGCCCCCTCCCGGGCCACTCAGACCTTGCCTGTCTCCTCACTTCTAGTTCCCTGAACTGCAAGGCGATTTGCAGAAGGAGGAGTCTACGGTGTGCACAGCTTGAGTGAGTGCTCCCCAAGGCCTTCTGTGCTCTGCTGCATTCCCCCACCTATGTCAGGTGGCCCCTGGCATCCAGGACTGCTCTTTGGCACAGCCTTCCCCACACTGTACTTTTGTCTGTGCCCAAAGGTTGTAATCACCTCGAAGGTTGAACCCTGTCTCACTCATCTCCATAGAGTCCCAGTGCCCAGCATGTTTAGGGCTTTCAGTGGAGCATGGGTGGACAGATGGATGGATGCCCCAAGGAGCAGGAGCTGGAAGTAACCACCACATCCTAATATTGCCTCTTCTCATCACTGCCATGTTCCTATCTGCTCCATCCCAGGGGAAAACTTTGTTGTGCGGGTCTGTGATTCTCAGGAGGAGACCACCGCCTCCTGAGCTGGCTCGGATCAGAACCACACAGCAGCTGACCTCCTGGGCAAGGCTGTGCTTAAAGATGCCATGGGATGGGGCTGCTGCCCTTCTCACTCACCAGCTGCACACCTGGACTGACCCCACAGGCAATAGTGAGGAGGCTGAGGCAGGAGCCAGACAAGGTTGGGGAGAATGAGGAGCCAGAAGTCAGGGGCTGGGGCCCAAGGAGCAGGGAAAGGGATAGGCAAGGACAGAGGCAGAGTGCTGAGGAGGGAACCTGAGCAGTGAGGGGTAGGGTGGGGTTGGGTTGGAACCAGAGCTGAGCCCTAGGGCTTAAAATGGGACCCTGGGCCAAGGCCAAGGTGGGAAGGACTGCTCTCCCTCCTAACCTGTCTATTGGCCATCTTGTCAACTGAGGCGGAGTCCAGATATTTATTCATTTATTTATCTATTTATTTATATTATTTTTAAAGAGTTTATTTATTTGACAGAGAAAGATAGAACAGGAAGGGGGAACTGGAGAAGCAGACTCCCCGCTGAGCAGAGAGCCCACCACTGAAACCAAAGCGGGGGCTTGATCCCAGGACCCTGAGATCAGGGCCTGAGCCCTAGGCAGATACTTAACCAACTGAGCCACCCAGGCGCCCCAAGATTTTTCTTATATTTAAGTAATCTCTACACCCAACATGGGGCTCAAACTTACAACCCTGAGGTCAAGAGTCACATGCTCTACCGAATGAGCCAGCCAGGTGCCCCAAAATCTCAGTTCCCTGATTCAGACCCAACCTTCTGACCTTAAGTCCCGGCCATCACCCTTCCTACCCTCCCTAGTGAAGAGATGGCCTTGGTGCTAAGTCACCCTTTGGTTTTTCTATCTCCTGCCCCTCCCTCCCTCTTCCTCCTCCCCACCTTTTCCCAGGCATCTGTTTTCCCCTCTCTATCCCTTCTGTGCCTTCCCTTATTCTCCCCTGCATCTTCCAGCTGTCCTCAGCTCTTCCCTTCCCTTCTCTCTCCTCCTGAACCCCACCCCCACCCAACCTCTGCAGGTGGCAGCTCCTAGGTCATGGACCCTCTCCTACCAGCCTACCAGGGTGGTCCTTATCCACTTATCAGGCTTATCCCTGAGGCGGCCCCTTCTAGTGGGGTGGAGGCAGGCGCAAGGGGCCTACTGGGTGGAGGGGAGAAGGTATGCATGCAGCAGGTGCTGGGCTCCCTGTGTGGATGTGGGCTTCAGAAGGCCTTGGGTGCAGGGGAGGGGCAAGGGTGCTCACCCCAGCTCACTAACTAGCAGGCAGTGTCTGGCTCCCAAGGGACAGGGGTAGGAGCTAATCAGGGCAGGTGCCCAGCTGGATGGCATATCTGGATGCCAAGCACTTGGAGCAGGCGCTGGAGTCTCTGAAGGACATGGTGTGAGGGGCCGGGTCC